ATGTTGCCAGGGGAACTGCTGTATTAAAGAGCACTAAAAATTTCCTTCTCAGATTTACACTCCTCCTGACAGCACCAAAGCTGCATCTCCTGTCATTATGTGATAAACTTTATTACTTCTTGTTGCCTGGACTTCATCTACATTCCCTGAATTAGGACATTTTTGTTTTACCAGCTACAGCTCACCACAGATTTCAGTGCTGGAGAGGAGAAATACACCTGCCAAAGGGGGAACATGGAATGTGGTTCACAAGGAGTGCTGGCAGGAAAGTACTGGAGAACCACATTCCAGTTGTGCAGATTTAGTCAGGTCAAATAAAAACTGCAAGGAAAGTAGGGGGGGGGGGTGGAAGAAGAAAAAGTGGTTAATCCTGTGGTCTCCTGTGTGTGAAAGTCTGGAGGAAGGTTATATCCAAAAATTTCCTCATTAAGGGCTCGCAGCAATTCTTCGCACAGCTATGACTTCATAATAATCAGCAAGAAAGAAAAAGAAATAAAGGAAAAAAATCAAATTAGTTACATTGGTGTTATAGGGCTTTTGAGAATTTATCCAGGCCTTGATTTACAGCAGCATCACTTCATGAATCTTTAGATCAAGACAAAGATTACTTGCTTTCCTAGGAAAGAGAGAAAACAAGATTCCTCAAATCAATGGGAAGCATCATTTGTTGGTGGGATTGGTCCCAGCTGACTTTTGCAGCCTAAACCAGAAAGTCCAGTCTAACCTGGTCTTTCAGACAACTCTGGAGTGAAAATAGAGAGGCAAGGACCCAGCTTGCACTGAGTGTTTGCTGTGCTTGATGCCGAAAGCAGAAAAGGGTCTCCAGAGCTCTCATACCCTACAACCTGGGTACAACGTGGGGGAAAATGCATCCCAACAGTCCCACAGGAAACACAAAGAGGAAATGGCACAGCCCTGTTATTTCTGGAGCTTTTCCTTAGGCTTCTGATTAAGGAAAAGTGAGACTACACTGAGATCAATTAAAAGATTTAAAAAATCTGTGAGACACAAAGAGGGGTCTGTGTGTCTCACTTTGATCTCTACAACTAATGCTGATAAAATCTGTTTTCAGTGAGAAACATGCCTTGCAGATCACCAAACATTTTGGCAAACAGTGGAAGAAAGGAGTAATGGCATAGAAAGAGAGGGTAAAAAACAGAGCCAGAGTTGGAAAAGTTGTGGCTTAACATCTCTTTGGCCTCATTTGCTCCTGGAGAGCAGCATCCTGTAGGCATCAAGATAGAGGCAATTAATTCAGTCACAAGGGCAGCTTGTCTCCTCACTTAGTCTTTTCCAGCTGTTTCAATTCTCCTGCTCTTCATCAGAAAAAAGAAAATGTATTTTTTTTAATAGGGAGCCATTTCTCAAAATCCATGTAATGGTCAAACCACTTTTCAAGCCCATTTTCATGAAGAAATGAAGAATTTTATTCCTGTTTCTAGCACTTGCCTCAAATCAGCTTTAATATTTTAAGTGCCCCTTCTCTGCTGTTCTAATGCTCAAATCACATGGTTATACTTCCTTTGACTCAGATAAATAAGCCAAAGTACAGCATGGAACTGTAGGGCCTGGGGATTTTATGAATGAAGGTGTTTAAACGCTGTTCATTTTCCATCACAGAATCATAGAATGGTCTGGGTTGGAAGGGACCTTAAAAATTATCTTGTTTCAACCCTCCTGCCATGGGCAGGGACACTTTCCACTACCCCAGGCTGCTCAGAGCCCCATCCAGCCTGGCCTTGGACACTTCCAGGGATGGGGCAGCCACAGCTTCTCTGGCCAACCTGTGCCAGGGCCTCACCACCCTCACAGTAAAGATTTTTTTCCTATTATCTAATCTAAACCTACTCTCTTTCAGTTTTTCCTGTCATGACAATTTGCCCAATTCTCCCTCGAGGGATAAAAAAATTGCACTCATGGCCCCAATGGCAACGACAGGAGGCTCCCAGGAAGTCCATTTCCCTTGGAGCTTCTTGTGAGGGATTGCTCAGCAAGCTGTGTAGATTTATGCTCCAGACTAACACACTCCAGAACAAAAAATGTGGGGGGTTGCTCCAGCGGTTTACACATCACACAGAGAGGAGCTTGGAAGGGTTGGGGTGGGGTGGGGAATGTGTAAAAATCCTCCTACTTACAGGCAGAAGAAAAAGGAAGGATTGGAAAGAAGTGTCTAGAGGAACTGGAGTGGGAGGTAGGAATCTGCCCGGTGTGCAGGCTGATGATTCACAAAATGACTTTCTGTTTAAATCAGAGTGGCAAACTTAGGACCTGATCTTTTGAACAGTCATGGGCATGGGTAGCCTTGGGCATGCAGGCTGTCCTCAGCAGCTGGGGATTCAGACACTTGATCATGTAGTGTCTTATCCCATACCCTTCCTTACCAGTGCCAAAGGTCGCATTCACCACGGTTCATTAGGCAAGTCAAAGTAAGGAAGGAGCTGACAGGGCACTAATAAATAGTTAATAAAATATGAATGCGTGTGGTGGTTGCCTGAGCAGCCCTGGGGAAAACAAGGAACATTTGAATCCCTTCACTGAGCCCCAGGAAGATTCCAGTTGATGAAGCCAAGCCAGTGGGTGTGTGTGGGTGGAGGTGACAGGTGCTCTCCTGATGATTCCCACTGGGGTCAGATCCAGAGCAGGATAGAAACACTCTGGGCCACAACTCAACTGGTTCCCACTGTGGGTTTCAACTTTTCTCAGTGATTTTGGGGGTCTTTTCTAACCTAAATGATTCTATTCACTCTACATTGAGGGGATGGCAATGAAGTCCCTGTGGTGGGGCAGCAGCTCAGGTGCAGTAACATGACATCCAAAGGGACCTTCACAAGCCTGAGGTCCGGGCCAACAGAAATATTGTGACATCCAGCAAGAAGGACCACAAAGTTCTGCACATCAGGTGCAACAACCTGAAGGTATGAGCTGCAGTGGTCCCACCTAAGTGACAGTGGGTGACAAAAACCTCAGTGAAGAGAAATGAACATCGGGGTGAACACAAGCCAGCAGTGCACTCTCACTGCAAACCAGGTACCAGGGCACATTCCAGAAGTATTGCCAGCAAATTCAGAGAAACCATTATTCCCCTCCACTAGACACATCTGGGAAGCTGTGTGTGGTTTTATGCCCTTCAGCACAAGCTGGATGTAGAGAATTCCAGTGGCAGGACATCAAGTGGACAGAGGTCTAGAGCACAGCACCAGTGAGGAGATGCTGAGGGAGCAAGGCTTTAGTCTGGCAGAGGAGGGGATAAGGGTGATCTAACAGCAGCTTAAATCTACCTGAAGAGCAATTAGAAAGATGGCAGAGCCAATCTGTCCTCAGCAGTTCTGTAAAAGTTTTAAAAGCAGCTATTATCCTTTCCAAAGCATTTTTACAAAGAGTTATCTATATTAATTCAAGCTAAAAATCCAGTCAATCTCTTTTAACCTTCTGCACGTTTCCTTCTTGGGCAACCAGTGGTGGAATCTGCTTATTAGATGTTACACCTTTTCTTCCTCTACCTTTATTCAGACACAACTATACAGAAGGTATTTCAAGAATGTTTTTATAAAATCGGGGCTGTTGGTGGAACAAGAAAATGGGATTTTAGACTTTAAAAATGGAGAAGTTTGTAAAAGCAAGAAAGCAATAAGAAAAAATTGTAACTGGTTAAAAAAAAAACCACCTTCCTGGATGTTTCATAACTATTGTTTTTAACAAGGCAGGGTAACTTTTTTTTTTTTCCTAATAGAGCAAAGTTTTTGAAACATCTTTTCGGAAATTGGTCACAATTCCCCAGACAGAATGTTTCATTTCCCTTTGTTGAACTGAACCTTTCATTGTGGCATTAATTTCTGCCTGCTAGAACTGCTGCTGTGCTTAGTAGGAAATATATTTCAGGAAAGTTGCATGTCCCCTCTTTACTGTTTAAGCTTCCCAGCAGATGGAGTCATCACAGAAATCTCCTGGTGTGTCACATCAGTTCAGCTCACTGACCTACAGTGTTGTAATGGGCAGGATGCAGTTCAGCTCTGGGAGGAAGAGGAAGGCTGCAGGAGCTGGACATCAGGAAGAATTTCTTCCTGGCAAGGGTGGTCAGGCATTGGCAGGGGCTGCCCAGGGAGGTTTGGAGTCCCCATCCCTGGAGTTGTCCAAGGAAGGACTGGATGTGGCACTCAGTGCTCTGGGCTGGGGGACAAGGTGGGGATGGGGCACAGGTTGGACTCCATGGGCTGGGAGGGCTTTTCCAACCTCAGTGATCCCGTGATTTTGTGATTCTGCCACAGCCTGCTGTGTCCCTGGCCCTGTCCTTGTGCCCTGGATGGGGCCCTTGGAGCCGTGTAAAATTTTACATATGAAAGTTTTACATGACAAGTTCTACAAAGCCTTGTCTCCAGCCCTTCCCTTGCCCCACCTCCTTCAGCTACTTCCCCCTGGATGTTCCCTGGCCCTGCCCCATCCCCTCACCCTGCCAGGGGCTGCTGATGGACCTCGTGGGTGACAGTGGTGAGGGCACGGCTGGCACGGGCCCTTCTGCTCTCTGCCACGTCTCCTGCAGGGCTGGAACAGTGGGATGAGCTCCAGCCTTGGCACCAAGCACCCTCACACTCACCCGTGTCATTACAGCAGGGGAAAAATGCTGCCAGGACCTTGGCACTCACCTGTGTCATTGTAACGGGGGAAAATCGGTGCCAGGCACCATCACGCTCACCTGCGTTGTCATGACGAGGGGGAAAACCAAACCGGTGCCAGGATCTTTGCACTCCCACGTGTCATTACAACGGGAAAACTGGTGCCACCAACTCACCCGGGTGGTTGAACACCTGGAAGAGCAGCCCCCTCACGTCCCGGCTGCGCAGCCCAGCCAAGCTCTGCCCAGGGTCGGGCGCTGGCACCCACCCATCCCTTCGGCTGGGACGGCGTGAAGTTTGTTCGCTGCGTGTGTCACCGGCCGTGCCTCACTTCCTCCTGTGGGACCGGTTAAACATTAACAGGGCGACCGACGGGCGTGTTGGGGCGGAGGGAAGGGGAGAGGCCACCCTTTTCGTGCCACGGGGACAGTGTGGGACAGGCGAGTGGCCCAGGGCTGGGGGACAGTCACCCCGACACCAGAGGGAAGTTTCCCCGGGACAACAGGTGGGGGAACCCAGGAATCTCCGCTTTGAACACCTCCAGCCTCCTCTTCCTCCAGCACCCCCTGGTTTGGGAGCTTGAGCCGGACCTGTCGCCAAAGGGAAAGCGGTGGGAGAACCTCTCGGCGCCCGGGGATGTGATCCAGGTAACCGCTCCAGGAATTTTATTGGCTTCCCAGCAGAAGGAGCTGGAGGATGAAGGATAATTTCAGCCTTTCCCCTGCTCTTGCCCCAGCGGGAAGGCTCCCCCGGGGTGGCGGCAGCGGGGTGAACAGAGGCTTTTTGTGGCTCCCATCTCCTACTCTGCTCCCTGGCATTCGGGGTGGGGGTCCCAAAGCATCCGAGCCCCGCTCTGTGCCAGGCTGGATCCAGCTGCCATTCCTCTAGGGCACTAGTGTTGTCATTATCCCCCTGCCTGCGTGGTGGATAAGAGAGGAGCAGCTCAGAGCAGCCCCGGCGATGTGAGTCACCCCCTGCACCTGCAGGGTGAAAAGCGGCACGGGACAAACCCCAGGCATTTAATTCATCCTCAGCCAAAATATCCTGTTTCATCTGAGGATCAGATAGTATTTCCCGGCCCTTTGAAAGCCCATTTTGAAACAAAACGTTATGGATACCTCCCTTTCCCGTCCTGCTCTGCTTCACCCCACGCTGTTTGCTGATTTTGCCCTGGATTTTGGCATCAGATTCTCTCCGGTTCATTTTTTTTGCCACAAAAAAAAAGAAAAAAAAACTTTGCCCGGCTCAGATTGCATCAGTGCAGCTGGATTTGTAGGTATGCAGGCTGCCCTGGCCAGGGGATTTCTCTCCTGTAGATCCTGCTGGGGATCACAGCTTCCTGGAAAAGGACCCTGCCCTGGCTTTTGTGTTTGTTTCCTGCTGCTTCACTTGGGCTGTTTCACTCCGTGTGACAGATAATACTGACTCCTGTAGCTACTGACTGATCTGTGTACGTGCCAAGAGCCATCCCAGTGACAGAGCCAGGAGGAATCCCTCCAGGCTGTGCACAGTGACCCTCCCTCCCCACACAGGAAACCTGAGAAGTGAGAAAAAACCTAAACCTTTCGAAATGCACTGGGCAAACCCAAAACAGCCCGTGAACAGCAGGTGGAGAAATAAACCCACGGGTTTGGCTTAAAATGTTCCTTAGTTGACAGGGCTGCCCCTTAAGCTCTCAAGGTAAACTGAAAGACTGTAAAAAGGGAAAACGTGGAGCAGGATGCCAGCTGGGCTGAGCAGAAAAGTCAGAGAGACCCCTTGCTTAAAGCACCAAGCAGGGAATGGAGCTCTGGCATAGCCTGGTGCTGCAGCTGAGCAGGGAACTCAGGGTGTCCCTGTGGTGACACTTATTTTGTACCTTGCACAATGTGCTGCCACAGAGAACATCCCCCCAAATCAGAAACACTTTCCTGCCCAGAAATGTGGTCTGGCCACAAAACCACATCCTCTGTGCCATGACTTGGTTTCCTGGGGGAGAAGTTTGTAAACCAAGCAGCACAGTCAAACTCCCACATATTTTGAGAGGGAGGAGAAAAATATCTCACAAGTGAATCACAAACACTGAATGGCAGAAAATGCAGAAGTAAAGTGGTGGCTCACACCCAGGCTCTGTGTATTATCTCTGACCACAGTGGAGAGCTGCTGGTGGTTTATTCTGGGGTTTAAGGGGCACTCTAAGTTTCAGAGAAATAACCCCGGCGACCTTTTTTTGCACTATCAGCCTTTCTGAGTGCTCAGACTGGGGAGCTGGGAGGAGATTTCATGTTTCTCATCTTTGCCCCAAGGCAGGTGAGATGGAGAGGCCAGAGTGGCAGGAGCTGTTCCTCCTGTCCGGGGTGGCCCCTCTGTGACAGGACTGCCACATCAATGATGCCAGCAAGCTCTCCATGGAAATGTATGAATAGGAATGCTAGTTTTGGAGTAAAGCACACAGAAACACACTAAAGCAACATTTTTGGGTGTATCCCTCCTCTCCTGAAGGATACCTGGCTCAGGAGACATCAGTTTCCTGAGAGGGGGGTACTGACCCCTACAAATGGAGGTCTGGGCCCCTCTGACCCCAAGGGAGTGGCTGGTGCCCTGCATGGCAGCGAGTGATGGAGCACAGGGTTCATTAGTCTGCCAGGACACCAGGGGCAGATTCCCACACAGTTTTGGGCAGCTCAGAGAGTTATTTTTCCCAGTTGTTCATGATTAACATCAGTGGTGAAGCTGGAGCTCCCCCGACCCAGTCAGCCCTGAGGCAGCAGTGTTGTAACAGCCAGGAGGGACTAAGGGCACAAGAGATGTGAGGTCTGTAGGAGGAGGTTTCTCTGCTGAAAAAAGTTCCTCTCCACCTATTGAAGCAATTATTTGAGGAGAGATCCTGCTCTCCTTCCAAACCTTCCCTCATTTAATCTCTTCCCCCTGTTGGTATTACAGGTCACACAAAGTCACATTGATCCCAGGACGCAAAGCAGCAACTTGATAAGTCCTCGTCCTTCAGCTTCTCCTCAAGGATGCACTGACTGCTGGTGGCTTTCTGCCTGAGGGACCAGGAGAGAATGCTCCAATGGAGAGGCTCCAGAGATCCATTTTACTTCCTCTCATCCTGACTGCCTCTCTCCCAGGTAGGACACGTCCATAACCCGTGAAATGAGCCCCCGTGGACCAAGTGTGGGAAATAAATTAAAAGCCATATAAGTGGCTGTTCCTGGAGAGATCAGAGTGGACACAGTCAGTCCCAGAGTAGGATTGTTAAATTTGGGAAATAGCTGAGTTGGCATTTCAAGCCTGAATGATCTGATGACTCAGAGTGGGGTTCAGTGAGCAGGACTGAGCAGTGTGTGGGGTAGGGAAGAGATGGGTAGATTGCCCTCTTCCAGTTTCCCCCTCTCCTTGTATTCCTCTTCCTTCTGTTTTCTGCAGCTTTTTAGGAGGCATCTGTTGAAAACTCAGTAGCAGCAGCTGGTTTTGCTTCCAGAAATATGTGCAAATCATCATGTTGCTGGTTTACCACCAAGTCACATTTCACACGCCTGAGTTTCCAAGTGGCTTCAGATTAAAAGTGTCTTGGTGCAAAGCTTTTAAAGGCAAAGGAAATATAAAGTGACTCGCTGGATAATAAAGACAAAGCTGATTTTTTTTTTAAATTATAGTCTAGCTGGGGTTTTAACAGGCTCTGACAGGAGCAGTGGGATGAGAGGGAAGGTATTACCTTGGCTTAATAACTGGTGAAAGGAAACACAATGCAGGAATAAACAGTGAGTTTTATAAACAGAGTGCTATTCCCAGTGGAATTGCACAGGGATGTGTGGTATTCAACAAGCTCTTAAACAACCTGGTGAAGAGGAGTGAACTGTGAGGTGGCAGACTTTGCAGGTGGTGCAGAATTACATAGGGCAGCCAAATCCAAAGAGGGACTAGGAAGATTTGCCAGAAAATGTCATGATACCAAGGAAGCAATAAAGGCACAGAAAGCATTCAATGCAAAGCATCACTGAACTGAGATGTCTAGTGAGGGAAAAGAGTGCATACATTGAAAGGAGAGTAAATTGCTGAAAAAGAGAAACAAAATTCACTGCTCAGTGCCTTCAGAAAGGTAGATAAAAAGAAATCTGGCATTACATAAATCCACAAAAACTTTATATCTTGGATACTGGATATTTTGTCAGCTTTTCCATTTCAAAAAGGACGTATAAGATCTGAGAAATGTATAAAGTGAGGCAGAGGTGTCAAAAGTATAGAATCATGGAATAATAGGGTGGTTTGGGTTGGAAGGGACCTTAAAGATCATCCAGTTCCACCCCCCTGCCATGGGCAGGGACACCTTCCACTAGCCCAGGTTGTTCCAAGCCCTGTCCAACCTGGCCTTGGACACTTCCAGGGATGGGGCAGCCACAGCTCCTCTGGGCCAAGAGGAGAGGATCAGGAGGCCTTCATTAGACTGGGATATTTTTTCTCCTTGTGAAAAAGAATAAATGGTAACAATGTATTAAAATAATTAATCCTACAGAAGTGAATGGCGAAATGGTTATTCACAATTTCTCATAAGAAAAAGAACCAGTGGCAACCAGGAAAAGTATCAGAAAGAAGATTTAAGGTGAACCAAAGACTGAACTTTTTCTTGCAGTGTGTAATTAAATAGTAAAGCTCATGGTCAGTGGATATGGAGGACACCAGATTATAAATAGGCTGAAAAAAAGCTGGAAACAAATATCACAGAGTGCAGACCCATAGGTGCAGATTCCATTATTGGCTCAGGAAGTCCCTGAATCTCTTATTTTTGGACACTGGGAAGTTGTAACAGGGACAGCTGTCAAATAGTGAGTAAGAGAAGAGAGGGGAAGACACTCCTGGGGGCTGTGGAGAGGTTTGGGTGCAGGTGGGTGGAAATCTCTGTTGCTGAGTATCAGTAGTCTGGTATTACTTGACAGAAACATCCTGTAAGCATTTAAAAATCTTGTTAACATAAGTGAACAAGCTGGTCCTTCTCTGCAGGCTTTGACAAGCTCTAACCTACTTTGGTTTTCAAAAAGCTCAGCTGCAGGGCTGTTGGGTTTTGGAATAAACCTGAGCTGTTTATTTATTTAGTTATTTATTTTATTTAACAGAGCCGTTGTTGGAGCAGTGGGCCAGCAGTGAGGCAGGGGAGGCATGTGGGGGGGAGCAAGAGACTAAAGAAAAAGTGAAAAGGAAAAGGAATTTGAAACTTTCTAGAAGGAAAAAATGTAGAAATTCAAACAGAAATAGCAGTGAGGGAAGGGAGGAAGAGAGAAACTGGACACAAAAACTGAAGGATAAAAGGCAGCATTTGTGGAAGGGCAATATGGGTGAGATTATTTTGAAATACGATAATGAGGCTGAAAAAAAAAAAAAGGGAATCATTCTGGCAAAAGGATAAGCCCATCCTGTCCTTCACTGTGCTGCATCCAAATAGGTCACTTACAAAAGAGGGAAGACAGAGTGGGCACAGGAGAGGAGGGAAGGAGGAGAAGGTGGCACATCTCAATGCCCTTGTTGTTGAAAACTTCAGCATGAGAAAGGGGTCCTTTGGAGGCACTTCAAGCGTGGAAGAGAAAACATTGTCGATGAAGGGCAAGGGCTGTTCTTTGGCAAATGAGGGAACAAGATGCATTTTCATTTCCTCAAAACCTGCAGTGATGTGACAGTGAATTTGTGTGACAGATGAGGGAACAAACAGCTCATAAAGGGGCTGGTGTTTACCCCGTGTGCTGTCGGGAAGGGCTGAGCAACTGGGACCCCACGAGTCCTTCATCTAAGCAGATTCTCACCACTGCTCTGCACACAATTAGTGCTGTGCCTCAGAGAAGGTGTCCTCACTCAGCTTTGTTCTTCAGAAGCCTGGGATAATCGTGGAGACAGCCTGACATTCCCCTGCTGCAGGGGGGGTGTTTGCCTGGGTGGGATGTCTCGCTGGTTGTGTGTGGGGAAGCAGATGCTGAAACAGCTGTGAGGAGCTGAACATGTAATTGCTGTAAAGTGCAGTGAAAATCAAGCCTGAGGCCCTAATTTGTTTAAAAGCAACCATCTGCAAGGCGTTTTTAAAGCTGGATGTAAATGAAACCAGCACTAAAATGTTCTCCTTGGTGCAAGAAGCAAGGTCCAGCAAAAGGACTCACAGCCCTGGCTGGAGGCTCTGGGAACCAAGTTTAGACCCCATTTCTGTCATGAATGTCCTCTCTGACCTCCCACAAGGGACTTTATCAGTGTTTGTGTGTGGGCTGGACAATGGAACACACTGTTGGCTCAGGGCTCCACGTGCTATTGCAGGATAAACAATAAAAGCAAGAAGATAAAGAGGGAAAGGTAAAATCACAGAAAATGTTTAGGGGGCAGGTGGAGAAGGCTCATGAAACTCCTTTATTGGCCGTGCTGGGGCTTTACTGGGATCTAAATGGAGGTAAGGCTGAGCTGTGTCCTGCTCCTCAGTCCTTCTGCCTCCCAGAGGATCCCCATGTGGGGTATGGACCTGTTCCCTGGTGGACAGCACTCAGGGAAAGACCATCTATTGCTCCAGCAGATGTGGTTGGAGGAAGAAGATGTAGATCCTACAACATCTAGGGACTGATAAAAAATAATTATATTACATACATATATACACACACACACACACATATATATATATATATATATATGCAGGAATAACTCCTACCTACCTGCCCATGATGTCCTGAATGTCTGAAGAAAACAAAAGCAATATTAACCATGAATTTTTAGAGCAAATGGTCACTGATTGTTCCTGTCTAGGGATAAATTTCGGAGGCTATAATGGAACTCACAGACATGATCTCATGGCAAATGATTAATTAACGGGAAACATTGTCCTGAAAGTCACATCGTTTATTCAGAGCCATAGCAAATCATGGCTCCTTTAAAAAAGCAAAGTGGTTGCACAGGCATGGAAATGAATTCCAAATGCACAGGGATCAGTTTGCATTAAGAGGAGCAGGGTGGGTAAGTGCTGCAGCTCCTGTTTCAGGAGCAGCCAAATGCATTTTGGTGTTCCCTCAAAGGAGGTTTGTTCATGTCTATGTCTATCATCATGGTAGCTGAAGTCTTCCAAGCAGGGAGGCCTCAAACAAAATATAAAAAATGAACAAACTCAACACATCAATATGTTACAGACATTATAGAGGTGCAGGGAGCAGTATTGTGAAGTCTGGCTACAACAGGAGTCAAGGAAAAATAGTGAATTCAAAGACTTGTTTGAGCTTAGGAGAGTGTCTCGACCCTGGTAATGTAAGTGATGAATATAAATCATGGCAACTGGATGTTGAATATCAGGGAAGAGGGACACATTACATGGCAAACGGAGTGAACTTCGTCAGTGCATGTTCATTAGGAAACCCAGAGCTCTGTAAATGGTTCCATCCACTGGCATGTGGCCAATTCCTAAACTTCAGGAAGTGACAAACAGAAAAGAGAGGAAATGGTTTTTAGGCATCTTGTTGGGTTGGCTGTTTGCAAAGCAATGTTTTCGTAGGTTTGATTGCTGAGTTCACCTTCAAGCTGTCTCATGTCTTAAGATATTTCAGTTCAGCTTTACAAGTCTGAAGGAAGCTTTGAATAAATGCTGCTGGAAAAAAATGAACCATTTAAGTTGGTCAGAAATATGTTTTACTGTATCTTATCTGCCTTTATTAACTATCAGTTTAGGTAAAGTTTGCTTTTCATTTAATGTTTTGTCGCTCACCCACAGAAATCCTTTGGAGACTGAGGTGCAAGGCAGAGGTGACATAAGCCAGGAAGGTGAAAAAACGTTGGAAAGGTTTTTGTAAACATGAGAGAACTCAGAGTCAACCATACAAAGAACCAGGGAGAGCTGGGTTTGTACAATCTTGCAAAACAAAGAGGTCTGTAAATACATGCAGTGGGTGAGAGGAAAGAGAGGAGCTATTTATATTAAAGAACAATCATGGGCACAAATCTGATTAGTTATACACTGGTTAGATAGAGATGTACTTTGACTGGGTTAAATGTGGGCTGGGATTTATAAAATTGTCTGGACACTGGAGCAATGAGATTACAGACCCCATGCCCAGGGTGCTGGTTGCAATGTCATACCTGAGACTGGGCTCTGGTTCCATTTATACAACTATCAAACATCTCTGTTGTGTGAAACAATACATCATGTTCTCCCCCTACTAATTTACTGAATGAAATTTTTTTTTTTCAGTAATTTATAGTTAATCCATTACTGAATAAACTACCCAAAGCGTGCAAAACCTGGGGTGAGCAAAACCTTTAAAAATCACTTCATTGTCCTGAATACTCTTAGGAAGGGGAGGAATGACCATCCCAGACTTCCTTTCTCCTGGAAAACAATCGAGCAGTTATTCTCAGGCCAAATTTGCAGGCACGAGGTTCTAATTAGACTGCTATGGACAATAATATCTAATTGCTTTTGTTACGCTGAGTACAGATGGAATCATTAGGGCACCACTGGCAGCCCTGGTGTGTCCTCACCAGGAATGTTTCCCAGGAAGTGATGAAAAGATAGAGCTCCCTGGCAGGACTGCAGGGAGCTTGTGAAAGGTCCATCCTTGGAGAGACTCAAAGTTGGACTTCAGGGACTGAAGTCCCAGCTGCTGCTTTGAAAAAGAAGGTGTCAGCCTTCATCCTTCGTCCTTCCCTCACTTTCTGCTCAGCAGGAGCAGGTGCTCCTGCCTTCCCCCACCCAGGGAATCCTCCATCTGCCTGGGAAACAGCTGCACCTCCACTCTTCTGAGGGCAGTGGGAGGCCCTGGGCCCGCTGAGGAGGAAAGGAAAACAAAATGCCTTCGTTAGAAAAGAGCTTTCAGCTCTGAAAAGCAGTGGCCAAAACTCATACTGCCTTTTAGGGAATTAAAACTGGTGAGTTACAGCAACTCTGGTTAACAGGAAGCCTGAGAAGGTGGGTAAGTATGCATGTGATACCTGCATGAGGAATAGAGGAAAGAGCACAGAAGGATATATGTGGAACCCCCAAAAATCAGTGACAATCCAAGATATGGCAAGGGGACCACTTACATACCCCTTTCATTATTTAAAGTCTAGAGAACTCATTTATCTGCCTATTCAAAAGTGCAACCTCTTCTTTCCATAAAAGGGTGGTCAGCGAGTTACTGAAGAGAAAAAGGTGATTTTGGAGAGGGAGAAGGAGAGACAAAAGATTAAATACATCTTTAAAAAAACCCACTTAATCTAAACTGGAGCTGAAAGGTTAGATTGCATGTCTCCGTCTCTGAGCTGGTTAAGATTTTTTTAAACTATCTAACCACCTTTGGTGGTGTTTTACGTGTGTTTACAGGCCGGTTTTTGATTCCTTTCAGGTCTTGGCTGTTGTTACTCCATCACAAAAGGCCCTGCTAATGCCACAGTCCTTGCTGGCTCCCAGGCCAGGTTTAACTGCACCGTGTCTGCAGGATGGAAAATCCTCATCTGGCTGTCCAATGGGAATCCTGTCCTCACTGTCCTCAGTTCCCAGGGATCCGTGGAAACCACAGAGCGCTTCACCTCCCAAAATTACACCAGTGGTGATGAGTTTACCTCGGAGCTCATCATCCACAACACCCAGCTGAGCGACGCCGGGAAAATCGAGTGCAGCATCCAGCAACCCAGCGAGAACAACTTTGCCTTTCTCTCTGTCCAAGGTGTGTATGGCCACCAACAGAAAGGTATTTTATTACACTGCACGCCAGGGAATCCTCTGAGGAATTGCTCAAACTATCCCTGGGAAGGAGTCCATGTTCTCATTTGCCTCCTGTCCACCTCATCTTAATTTTACTGCCAAAGCAGGTTTGAGAGTCACATTCAGACCACCAGTAACAAAGGTGATAACTGCCCCTGTTTTTCCCTGTTACATCTCTTATTCTTTATCAGAATAAGCCAGGAAAGCAGGATTTAACCACCAGGCACTACCTGTTTGTCAAAGAGGTGCTTGGTGAGGTGATAACATCTCATCACCCACCCATAAACCTTTCCTGATACGACCTGAGCATATTTAAAACTCAAGAGAGAAACACTGTTATTTCATTATGTTGTCTGTCAGCTGGAAGTTAAGTCAGGATGGCTAAAAAGTGCATTTTCCTGCTTTTTATTGGAAAGGTACTGAAAGCTGAGGCTTGTTCTTTAGGTATAGTGAACAATATGTCCATGCAGTTGCAATATCTGCATGTTTCTACCATGAATATGGTATATCTGTGGTAATAATGATCGTTTTTCACTTCATATCTCAAGGCATAGCTATTTCTGGGTAGCAAGATAAGATTTAAAGCTACCAGCAGGAAAGCAATGCAGCAAAACATTCTGAAGGAACAAAACATCTTTTCCCTCCCACAGTTAATGGATCTTTATTCATCAAAAATAGCACCTTGACAGTAAAAGAGAACACAACAGTTGAAATTGTTTGTGAAGCCTTAGGATGGGCTCCAGCTCCAGACATTGCCTGGATGACAAATGACTCTCTCATTGATAAGTCAAGTTATGTTAACCAGCAAAGTCAAGGATCTGATGGCCTCCACAATGTCCTGAGCATCCTGACTGTGACTCCAACAGCCACTGAGGTTCTGACTTGTTTAGCTGACATAGAAGCACTCCCTGAACCTCAGAATGCAACTGTAACCCTTATTTTTGACAACTCCACTGCAGGTAAGCAAATGTTTGTTGTACTTTGCCTGTGCTGCACCGGCTGTACTCAGAGCTGGGTGTTTTGTTCTGCTTTGTTTCATTTTGAAAAGATCTTTTATTTGCAAAGGGGATGTACAGAGGTGACCGAATTAAGACCCAGTAGTCAAAATCTGATATATGGGTAGGATAAAATGCACATATACAAATCTAATGAACCACAAAGCCCAGTGTAGGACTGAGCAAGGCAAACAAAGCTGTACCTCTGCCACTGATTCCTATGGATTCACTGGAAAACTAGACTTTGCTCCTTGACCAAGAAAACATCTAATGAATTTAGATCTTAAATAACTCTGTACTTGCACTTCAGGTGCAAATGGAAAACACAGGAGCAGTGTCCATAGATTTTCTTATTCCAACCCCCTTGCCATGGGCAGGGACACCTTCCACTATCCCAGGTTGCTCAGAGCCCCATCCAACCTGGCCTTGAACACTTCCAGGGATGGGGAATATCCATGGACATTATCCCAAAGACTACTTAGATCAAAGAGCCATTGCACCTGTTTTCCTCTTCCTGGCATGCCCTCTTCCAAATGTTAGAGAAAGGTAAAAAATGTCCTGCAGCAACACATGTGGAAGTTTTTGGACAGTGCATTAAGTTGCTTTATATGGGCTTATACTGAAGGAGGTTTAAGGCTGGATGTCATGCAAATCTCTCAAGAACTGTTAGCAAGACCTTTGACAACTCTAAAGATTTTTGCTGAGGTTACAATCATGCTGACAGCTTCTCTTGGTGAACTGCTGCTTCTTCTGCAATGGGTGAACGTGGCACATGCAGAGACATTCTTAGAGTGGATCCACGAGGGGTCTGGTGGAGACATTTTGACACATAAACACCTGAGGAGATTGAGTAACTGTGTCTTTCGTTTTCAGTGTGAGTCATTGTCAGCATTACCTTTTTCAGGAGAACTTGCTCAGAAATGCAGTCGGAAAAGGTCATTTTACCATTCTTAACATGGATTTTTGTAGTCGCATTGATCTTAATTACTGACTGAGCAAAACAGGGCCATCCTGAGGAAATTAATAAATTCCCCTGCCTGCTGATTTGTGAAGTAGTGAGGGATCCACCCTCAGTTTCCATAGCTACTCACTGTAAATCAGAAGAGCAGAAAAACAGATGTCATGGAGCGCTATTAGTGTATTATTAGTGGCTCTGTAGGACCATCATTCATTTCTCTTTGGAAATATCACTGTGCAGCAGCAGCCACTCAAAATTTGTGAGGGTAGGAGAATATGAAGCCTTTAAATTATTAGAATGAAATATAAGCGTGGCATTCATGACAGAGAAAGATATATAATGTTTATATATATCACACTTAAAATCTCAGAGCTTTTCGTATACAGGCTCAGCCTAAGCTACCTGTTGCTGGGAAAACTTCAGACATCTAAGAAATCCTTCCAAAAACTACTGTAATAACAATTTCCCCCTTCACTTAAAAGCCTGAGGAAATGAATTCCTCCATGTTCCTCCCAAGCAATACAAGAAATACCAAAAATCTGAGCCCTCTACAACCAGACAGCTCCTGGGACGGGAATGTCCCACCTTCCTGCACCTCTAGGTCAGTCTTGCTCTACAAGGTGGTGCATTTTTATGTCAGTCACACCTCCTCCAGAGTTACTTTGCTCACAGTGGTGTTTGGCTGAGCCCCAAATTTGAGAACTCCTACAGAGTTATCCCAGGTGATGCATTCACAGAGCTGTTACTGGGAAGTGGGATCCAGGGCAGTCCCTTAGCTGGGCCCAAGCTCTCCTTGGCCTCAGTGTTGAATTCAGGTGGCCTTTAACCTGCAGAAGGTGAGGATGGAGAATCTTCCACGAGCCTGGAATTCCTTTGATGTTTAAGCTATCCAGGAAGCTCCAAAGTGTCCAGGAAGCCACGTGTGGGTTTTTCCAGTCCCTTGTTTCTCCTTGGTCACATGCGAGAGGGAAAATCCCCTTTTCTGCAGATACTTTGTCCAACTAAAAATTTGGACAGCTCTGGGAGGAGCCAGAGGTCTGGATGGGTCCCATGGAATGAGGCAGTGGCTTTGTCCACACTAAACACCCCATGTAACCTCGTGTGGATTTACTGATGGGCTCAAAGGGGTTTGATCCCTCAGTGCCCCTCCCTTGCACCCCTGCTTGTGTGCTGAGCTGGCAGCTCCCACCTCCACCTGCTTGGTCTCAGCTCCAGTTTCTCTCTGGATGCTCCCAAACTGAGGAAACACTAAAATGCTGGAATGCTGGGAGTGCCTGTGTTGTACTCTGTCCTACCTTCAGCTCTGTAAATCCTCTGGCACAAAACCTGAACCTGCCAGGGAGTGAAAAACCTTGGGCTGGCAGACCTGGAGGTGTGGGCAGTGCAGGTGTGTTTAGCTCCTCTCTTCACACCAAGGAATAGCTTTCCCTATAGATAAATAGCTGTCTTTAGTATTTTAATCATCTTTCATTCATTTTAATCATGGCATGCTTGATGGAGCAAAATATAACACAACACAGGTATTTGTTTCAGTACTTCTAGATAAAAATATTATTAACAAGTTTATCACCATTTTTAATCACAACTGATGGCAGCCTACAGGATTTACTACTGGTTTAAGGGTTCCTGAGTGCTTGTTTTTTTGAACAGAAGAAATCCAAAACCTGCTGATTGAGCATTAGGATTAGAGAAGACTGGAACAAATTGCTTAATCATAATGACCTGAGCTTTGGAGAATGCAGACTCCTAGCAGAGGTTAAAGCTTTGTAGGAGGCTCTGGTCCTGTATTTTTGAAGTCTGAAACCTCCAGACCCCAAACACACACCCAGGCAAATAAGTAGATAGAAAGGATTTAGTGTATTCCCTGCCATAGGTAAACCTTGTTCCCACATGGAATTGCCCTGACTCTGTGCAGCTCCCAGTCACCTTCCTTGCTGTGGTGCCTTTTCCAGAGGCTGTCAGCTAAGGGTGGCCATGGAATCATTAACTGGGACCTCTAATGAGGACAACACATCCATAAACACATGCAGTGGAATGGGCTGTGCCAGGTTTGGATGTGCCTCACACCTGGAATTTGGATTGGAAGCTTGTTTCTAAAGATCTGTCAAAGTTATTTTGGGGCTGCTTTCCAAAGGGTAAATGAATCAGATAGAGGTGCTTCTGGAATGTGTGGTCAAACCAAAGGGCAGGATGATGTGACAATCAGAACTGGCATATCTTCCTTCTGCATCAGTCTATCTGAGAAATATGGGAGTGTCCAAGGCCAGGCTGGAAGGGGCTCTGAGCAACCTGGGACAGTGGGAGGTGTCCCTGCCCATGGCAGGGAGTTGGAATTTGATCTTTAAGTTCCCTTCCAACCCAAACCATCCTGTGATTCTCTGATTCTATTTTTCCAAGGTATTATTAAAACATGCAGGAGCCCTGGTTGGTCACAGCAACAGATTCCAGCAAGACACTGAGTTATCCTTAAATCACCTCATTTAACCCTGGAGATTCCAGCAAAGATAGAGGAACAAGTTAATTGGGAAAATGCTGGTAGAGAAAAAAACCTCTTCAGGTTTTGCTCTTTGCTGCTCTTTAAGTGGGTGACAGGTACCCTACCAAGCATGTCCTGAAATCAAACACTTGTTGAAATCATTGAGAGAAACCCCAAGGCAGAATTGATTAGAAAATCATATCTCCAGACTAGAAATCACCAAATGTAGTAGTCACCTAAAACTCTTGCTGTGGTCTGTGGGGAGAATTGGATGCTTTCAGAGCAGTTCAGCATATCAAAATTTACTCAAATAAATTAAAACCCAAAATACCTATTTTGGTGGGAAAAGTTACAACTGCACTAAAGAATTTGAATTTGGAAATATTTTAAATTCTTGGGCAGCACCCACAAATTTGTCATTTGGAAAACACAGGCTCCTTGTTAATAATCAACAAGCATCTCAGAGAAAAGGTAAATATTCTGCAAAGGGTGTTTTGAGGCTCTGATAAGACAGTGTTTCTCCATTTAATTTAACAGAAAATTATTACAGAGAAGACAACAGAAGCTCCTGGGTTATTGTACTTGCAGTTGTGCTTTCATTCCTTGGTATTGTTCTTCTGACCATTATTATTGTGGTGGTTGTTCGCTGCTGCCTGAAGAGGAGAGGTGAGTGGAACTTCACAGTTGGTCTCTATATTAAAAAGTATCTTTGACCAGATATAAACCCCCAAGTTGTGGCAGCTCTGGTGCTGTGCAAAGTCCTGTAAGCAGAAGTGTGAGCGGACAGATCCTCCTCTTAACCTTGGCCTGGTTAAAATGCTCCTTAAATTCTCCTTAAATTGGCCTTGGATGCTCCTTAATTTCACCTTCCTGTTCCTCTCATAAATTGACTCCACAGCAATCAGTGTCAGCCCTTCACATTAACTACAAGAGGGCCATGTTTTTTGGGAGCACATTAACTTTCAAGGACTTTCAGTCCCTGTGCTGAGGTTCTTTGTTGAAGAATATCTTCAGTGCTGCGTGCCTGATTCCAGTTTCTGTGTAAGCTGTTCTACAGGGCTGTAAATTTTGTAAGCAGGGGGGGAGAGATGCTCATGTGGTAGCTGGAACACAGGGGATGCCCTAAGAGAACTTATAGTTTATATTTTAATTTCTTGCATTTTAAAAACATTCCTTTTTTTTTTTCTTCTTTCTCAGCATCTACATATCAAAGTGAAATCAGGTGAGTCAGATGAAGGGGGGGGGAACTTTTCCTGTTAATTGGGTTCTTTCAGGGTGGCAAGAAGGATGTGGGAGTTTCCATGCCCTGCCACCCAGCATCCCAGAGGAAAGGGGACCAGCTTTAGGGGCGAAAAACCAGCAGCAGGTTGCAAATCCTGAGTGAAAAAAAGCACCAAAATCCCGCCGGCGCCGCATCTCTGACTCGGCGAGCGCAGAGACGACAAACTGAGGAGGCACTCCCGCTAAAGCTGATGGGCAAAGCGAATTCCCAAGAGCCGGCTGTGCCCCCAGGGAAGGCAGGGGAGGGTGGCCGGGTGCCCCGGGCTGGCCAGCACAGCCCGGCGGGCGATTGCCGCCGCCGCCACAGGATGTCACTGCCAGCCCGGGGACGGGAGAGGAGGAGCTCCTGGGGATGGATGGGCAGGGAAATCGCGCCGTCTGCCCGGCTCTTTTAAGGGCGGATAAACGGGCGAAAGAGGGGTTTAGAGGGTAGGTTTAGATTAGATATTAGGAAATAATTCTTTGCTGTGAGCGCGGTGAGACCCCGGCACAGGTTATGCTGAGAGGTTGTGGACCCCTCATCCCTCATCCAAGGCCAGGTTGGAAGGGTCTTGGAGCAACCTGGGGTAGTGGAATGTGTCCCTGCCTATGGCAGGGGGTGGAACTGGATAATCTTTAAGGTCCCTTCCGACCCAAACCATTCTATGATTCTATAAAAAATTAATAAAGGTGCCCCAATGAAAAGCATCAACCCATCACCAAGTGGTTGCCAGACATGCTTGGGTACAAAGCTGCTGGTACATTATTGCACTGAGCAGGACAATTTTAGCCATCAAGAGCTGATGACTATCAGCATTAAGATCCTTTTTATTGGCACAGTGTGGCTGTGACAGCAGTGGCAGTGGGGTTATTTATGTTATTCATATTATTATTTATATCCAGGCAGTGCTGTAAATTCATACCCTGCCTACACTTGTGGGGGCTTTTAACTCCCTGTCCCTTCATGAGTTTCCAAAGCCTCACCTCCCGTTGCCTGGCACGTCAGTAATACCCAGTTTCATTAACAGCCTCTTGGGGGGGAAATTTTGTGAAGGTCTGTTGACAGATTTCCATTTATAGAGCACTTTATTGATACGGAACAAAATCAGGAAATGAGATACCCACTGTTTTCTCCGAAGGAAATGATGCTTATTATGCCATGCAAACTTCCATGGGATTTCTTAATTTGTGGGGCTGACTTGATCATTTTGCCAAGTGCAGCTTGCACTTTGGAAGTTGAGAAAACTGGGATGAATTCGGGCTTTCTGAGGCTCAGCTCAGGCTTGGAGACTCTGAATTAAAAGCTCTACAAAGTTTTACAAAGTGTGTAAATGTTGACACTGAAATCAGGATTATTAACAATCACTTACAGATTTTGTAGGTCCAGTGGTTGGTTTTTTTTTTTTACCTGCAGTAAAAAGGAATGATGATTGTCCAGATTTGGGAAGCTCCATTATAGTAGCAAAGAAGTGGTGAGACCAAACATACATTGCTTTATTTCCCACATTTATTTTTAACTTGCCTGGATATCTTCCCATACCTCCCACACTTTTTTTTTCTTTTTTCTTTTTTTTGGTAGCTCCTTTTTTATTTGGCTATGACACTGAGTTTGTTGGGAACTAAGGATCAGATAAAATACACAGTACAGTGTCATGTAACATGTGGGGGTGGTAGCCCTGAACAATTGCTTTTGTCTTCCAGCAACCAGGACAGGTTTCTTGGTGGTATCTGACATGTTTATCCCCTAGAATAGTCAGTGGCTGGTTCATCAGGTTTGTGTGCTTCAGTAACACCCATCTGAAAATCTGTGGGCCAGTAAAACCATTCCTGCTAAACATAAAAAGCAGAATCACAGGATCCTTTAGGTTGGAGAAGAGCTCCAAGATCATGGGGTCCCCTCTGTGCCCAATGCCCACCTTGTCCCCCAGCCCAGAGCACTGAGTGCCACGGCCAGGCCTTCCTGGGACACCTCCAGGGCTGGGCACTCCAAACCTCCCTGGGCAGCCCCTGCCAATGTTTAACAACCCTTTCCTGGAAGAAATTCCTCCTGATATCCAACCTGACCCTCCCCTAGCACGGCTTGAGGCCGATTCCTCTTGTCCTGTCCCTTGTTCCTTGGGAGAAAAGGCTGATTCCCCCCCCGGCTCCCCCTTCCTTTGGACAGGTTCATGTGGCATTTTCCACAAACTAACAGCATGTCACCCCTCCCCCCTAAAAATTCCTGGGTTTTCATGGTGGATCTGTGCTTGGCACACCTGAAACCTTGGCAAAGGTGGACCTGGGACTATCCAGGAGAGGGGTCCATGGCAGGAACAGATCAGTAGTAGCGTTTCTTCTAGAGTAAGATTTTGGGGTAAAAAAAGCACTGTTGTCTCACTGCGCAGCTCTGTACATTCAGAGATGTGTAAATTTAACCAAGGGAGTTCCTTTCACTTGTAAAGTAAATTTCAAAGTGAAAGATTAACTTTGGAGTGTAGAGATGAACCACTTGGGAGCTCTCTGTGGGGGTGTGAGACAACACTGTTTTTGCAGCTGGGGACAGGCTCAGGTCACCGAAATGATGAGCTGTCCTGAGTGACCATTGCTGGGCCACTGAATATCCTGCAATTCACAATGAGAGATCAAAATTCATTGCCTACAAAACCTATGAACTGGTGCAGAGTCTTCGCTCTCTGAAGGCTGCTCAGTTATTTTCCTGCTTTCTGGGATGTTGCAGCTCATGGGAACTTTCCAAACAGAATTCCATGGGTAATACTTACACGGGACAAGATTTGTACTCGTGGCTTGGAAGCCCCACACATGTTTTGCACCTATTTTTTGGGAAGCAAAAGACTTTTTCCTCTGTACTCTGCTACCCAAGAGTTCTCCTAGCATAGTGATTTTCTAATTACACACCTTTTTTGTTTCTAGAAAAGTTTCAACCGAGAAGAAAAAAGATGGAGATTTGGAAAACAGGCAAAGGAATGGTAGTGAAAACCCAGGATACCTTCCAGAGGAACTGTGGAACACAGAACAGAGCCCAGGTGAGTCTAAGCTGGTGAATCACATGTTGTCAAAGTGCTTCTCAACGTGGGCCTTTTGGACAACATATCAAGGAATTACATTATGAGACTTCACACATATTTCACAATACTCAGTGAGGGATCTGTCTTTGCCCTGAGCCTCTTCAGAACATTCTGGACTTTCTAGAGTAAGGTCCTTCAAAATTATTGAGAAAATATAAAGTCCTTTGCAGTGGAATTTACATTTAGTCCTGGGTTTGGTATTTTAAATGCCTTTGTTCTTCCAAATATCTTCTGGGGCCAGATGTGGGAGGACTGGATTTCCATACAACCGTTAATTTGGGCAACATTTTGCAGTTGGTCTGTGAAAACAAAGGAAAATCCACCACTACCAACAACAACAAAAAAAATAAAAAAAGAAGAGAAGGAAAGAAAAAAGGCAGCTAGTGAACTATTATTTTACTGAGAAATGACTAAGGCATTATAAATTCTTGTCCTTAAGCACAAAGACTCTTCAAAAGCAAATGTAAATCTCCACCAAATCGTTACCCACCACTTGCATTTATAACCACATTATTATCAAAACATTTAATCAAACACTTAATGACACAAAATTATTGTGCAGAGTTTGTAAGCCAGGCACACATCCCTTTCTCTCCAACAAATACATGGTGAAGAAATAAGTGCAGTGAAAAGATTTCCAGAGCATGTGGTGTTGTTGTAAAATGTTGTTACAAAGAATAAAAGAAAAAAACTAAGTGAACCTGGACAAATTGATTCTACTGAGGCCTTGTATAGGCTTCTTTCATATTTATTAGTGTGGTGGATTGACCTTGGCTGGCCACCAAGTTGCTTTATTACTCCCTCTTCTCAACAGGACAGGGGAAGAAAATAAGATAGAAAAGCTTGTGGGTGAAGATGGGGGAGATCCCTCACTAATTGCTGTCACAGGCAAAGAAGACTCCATTTTTGGAGGATTAATTTAATTTATTGCAAATTAATAACAGTAGGATAGTGAGAAAGAAAACAAAACCAATAACACCTCCTCAATTCCCCACTGCTTCCAAGTCTCAGCTTCCCTCCTAGCTCATCTAACTCCTCTCCACAGGCACGGCAGGGGGATGAGGGGACAAGGAACTGGGGCTGTGGTCGGTCCATAACACATCATTTCTGTCCCTCCCCCTGCTCCAGTGTGGGTTCTTCCCACAGGGCACAATCCTTCCCAAAATTCTACAGTGTGGGTTCTTCAAGAGCTGCTCCAGTGCGGGTCTTTTCCATGGTAAAGAAATGGAATGTTCCAGCATGGCAGCCTTGTGGAGAGTCACATTTCCTGCCAGAAAACCTGCTCCTGCATGGGCTCCTCTCCTGAATTACAGTAATCTTGGATATTCTTACAGGAATTGCCTCTCTTCCCTCAACATCTTCCAAGTTCACTGGCCCTGAGGACAATTTATACATCAGCTCTGTGCCAAAGGTAATTGCAATGCTGATACCTTGAATATCTTGAGCTTTTTTCTTTTTCTCACTCTGTGTCTTGTGCTATAAGCATATACAGATTTTGGGTGGAGGGAGACAATTGGTAAGTGGAATGTTCCTTCTGCATTCCTGAATGATTTATAGGGATAAGTGACCTGAGTTGGCCTCAGACTTAGATTGATTTGGGGGGCAGGGAACGGGTAGGGGGGGAATGAAGGAAAGTGAGGGAGAAACAGCCTCCTCTGAGGAGGAGATTTTGAAAGAAGTGTCTAATAAAGCTTTTGCCACGTCTGTTCTCCTCAGCTACATCTTCCTCCCCACCTCCCTGCCTAAAGTTTAGGAAGCCACAAACTTCCCCTCATAAAAAATCTCAAGGTGGAAGGGACCCGTAAGTGTCACTGAGTTGAACTCCCTGCTCCTCCCAGGACTGCCTAAAACTAAACCACGTGTCTAAAACCATCCCCCAGACTCTCCTTGAGCTCTGACAGGAGTTCAGGCAGCGTCAGCTCTTTCCTTCCCCTTGCTTTTCATGTCTTTCCTGCTCCAAATGCCAGCCAGGCCTTCCTGCTGGGACAGACTCCCCATGGGTGAAGCCAGTGGTCTGATTGTCATTCCTGGGATTAAAAGGTCTCCCCCTCTCTCTCCACAAACCTACTTTTTACCATTAACAAATCAATTAATTCTTTCAGCCTTTCCAGGCAGAATAACTCCAGCTTGGCTTTTGAGAATTCACCTCTGTGTATATTATACCTTAAACAATTATAATGTGACCTTTAACAATTATAATTATTATATAACAGTAATTATTATTATATAACAATGGAAATTATAAAGGTTTCCTTTGCTCTTGGCAGGTAGTAATTCTGGACAGAATTATTATATATTATTATATTATATATAATAATTACTATATATTATTATTTATATATATACACATATATAATTCTATATATAATATATAGAAAGTTGTTATATAGGTGTCTTAATCAAAGAGGTCTGCAGTGTTTTTGTTCTCCCCAGCTGCCAGACTGGAGGAGATGCAGGATATAACATGGGGGTACTGCTGAAGGCAAGGTTTGAGGTTCCTTTGCAAGCAAAATCCAGAGTGATATAATGAATAAATAAGCATTTCTTGACTGTATTTTCCAATTCAACCAGGAACTTTACGCTGATCTTGGAGACTTTTGGTATCTCAGCAGCAAGTTCTGGGAGGGAAAGCGCCCAGTTAACACCCACCCTAGAGCTTTTCCCCTTTTCCACATGACTAACATGTAAAAAGTTGAGCTCAGGGTTTATTCCTTTCATTGTTCCACTCTCAGAGGCCTCTGTTGTGCAGGATGGTGCTGGGCTGTCTTCTGGCACAGCATTAATGTGGATCTTAATTTATGCCACACGTTTTTAAAATACTTTTAGCACCTCTGTGATGGTTTGTGCCGGTATTCTCTGGGGAAAGTGGCAGTGATGTAGTACCAAGTTCACTCCTCAACACAGTGGGAACTCATTTATTTTTGAAGAGCTGCTTCAACATGCACAGTGCAGGAATCTGCCGTGGGATGACATTGCATATAAATCACAGCAGAGCGTGTCTGGCTCTTCTGGCACACGATGGAATTTAGGAAGTGCTCAGTCAAAGATTAAAACAGTGATCAAAATAATAACAGTAAAAATAATAGCACTGATACTGATGTATTTGTGCCTGGGAGTTATGATGTTTGACATTAACTACGTGTCAAACAAAATACTATTGAAGCAAAGCTGAAAAGCATGTGCAGAACAGCTGAGGGTTTGGTGGGGATCTATAACCCTGAGCAGCAGTTTCAGACAGTGTTTGAAAGGCTTATGAACAGGATTATATTTCTATTGTCCCTGGACAACATAACAACTCTGTTACAGTGTCTTCTCCCTGCATCAATAACTGCCCACACGTTTTTGAGAAACACCCAGAGATAATCTAGAGGTGAAAATCGTTTATAACCATTTCCCATATGTCAAGGGAATATTTAGAATCTAAAAATGTCTTGCTGAAAACAAATTACTTGTTTGAACAGGGCTTCCCAGTATATTGTGATGGCCCCATCTTCTATATCCAGAAGCTGATAAAACTGATGAAGATTTGTCTTAAATTGTGGATCTGCAGTCCACAATTTAAATTTATGACATTAAGTGCAAACATGGCAAAACATTTCCCATACAAAAAGTAGGGGGTTTTGACATTCACTGCCTTCCCTGTTAACTGCACAATAGAGGTTTTCTGACAAAAAAAAAGTGCTACTGGGTGTATTCTAATAAACTTCAATCACCACTGATGGCAATATATTGCCTACTAAATATCGAAGTGCTCTTTTATTATATTTCTTGTCAAGCAGGAAAAATCAGGTGGTAACTCATTTAGCTGTTTGCTGTCAGAGCTGAATCAAACAATCTGTTCAGAAACCACCTGCCTTCCTGCCACTGCATCTTCTAAGCCCAGGAAGTTGTGTTTCTCAGTTGGCTTTCCCTGCCTGAACACTGGAAACATTCTCAAAAATTGTTCATCCTTATTCTTCAGGAGTTTTTAATGAGTAATAGGGGGTATAAAACGGGAGGGAGAGATGTTACCCTGAGAATTTTTTTCATAGTGAAGGAGATCATGAAGGGGTGGATTCCAATAAATTGCTTCTCTTTCCCTGCATAATCAAGAAAAATGAGCAAATGTCCTTGCAGTGATTCTATGGAGGTCAAGAAGAAGCAGGGAGAGTCCAAGTCCTCCCTGAGGAGCAGGGAGTCCATCTACTGATGGAAAGAGTCACACAGACTGAACACCTAAAGTTTTTCCTATTCCTGCCTCTGTGAGGGTATTTGATTCCAGTTTGATCCCTTCTGTTCCATGTGTAAAAAAATTTACAGTTTTAAAGCATTTGGGAGATTAAAGGAGGCTTCAAATCACGGCTTTTGTTTCCTCAGAAGTCCTTTTCCATGGACCCAGCCAGGCACAAAGCCTGAAAGAGCTGGTGTGTGTCATTGCAAAGGGTGGCAACAGAAAATCACTTAGGTCAGCTGTTGGCCATTCAAACCCTTTGAATCAGAAGCTAATGCAAAATGTCCACAGAGAAGATAAATGTTGCCCAGTAATTGCACTGATGAATTCCCAACATGAACAAGAGATCTGGCAAATCATCTCAGGGAAAAGTGATACCTCAGCAAAGAAGAAGGGAGGAAAATAAAAGGTGTGGGAGATGTTCAAAAAATGATGACTAACGAAGCAAATTATTGAGCTGAGGGAAAAAAATGAGCCAGGCACTGGAAGAGGAGGCCAAGGAGCACCAGTCAGGGATGCTGGAAGGTCCCCACTCTGATTACATTAGCTGAGAAAAAGTCAAATTTAGAATAGAGTTGCAGGCTCCTCTTTGATTGCAAATGTAGTTACTGCCAGTGGTCATAGAATGGTTTGGGTTGGAAGGGACCTCAAAGATCATCCAGTTCCAACCCCCTGCCATGGGCAGGGACACCTTCCACTAGAACAGAGTGCTCAGAGCCCCATCCAACCTGGCCTTGGACACTTCCAGGAATGGGGATTAACAACTTCTCTGGGCAACCTGTGCCAGAGCCTCCCCACTCTCACAGGGAAGATTTTATTCCTAATATCCAATTTAAGCTACTCTTTTTCAGTTCAAAACTGTTCCCCCTTGTCCTGTCATTACATGTTCTTTTTAATCTCTCTCCTTCTTTCTTGTAGGCTCCCTTCATGTACTGAAAGGCCACAGTAGGTTGATCCCTAAGCCTTCTCTTCTCCAGGCTGAGTGATCCTTGCTCCCAGCTCTGGAGTGGAGTTACAGGCCAAACGGTGTTAGAGACAAAGATCCCATCCAAGGGGCTGTTCCTCATTCCCATTGCACAGTGCCCCTTCCAAAACCCAAGTGCAATGGGGGGGATCCCCTGCCTTGGCTTTAGCAGATTTTGGGGCAGTCCCACAGACAGCTGAGCCTGAGCAAGGGCCAGTTCTGCCAGGTCCTGAGTGCCACCTCCGAGGAGCTCCGTGTTTCAAGCTCCCACAAAAGGAGCTGAAGGGACTCAGCAACTATCAGGATTGGACAATCTCCTAGAAAAGCTTCATAATTAGTCCATTTAATCTGCCATAAATGTCTCTGTGATAAATCAGGAGACCATTCTGTAAGAGGCAGTGAGTGCTCATTTACAGTGGGCCAGATCCATCCCTGGTGTAACCCCGGCTTCAGAGGCTTCCACTTGCCACCACAGCCACACTCCCCCTCTCCCATCCAGGGTGAATCATGGCTCTGTTAATGGAGAAGGATCCATTTTTCTTCTTAACTACTCCAAATGACACTCTATAAACTGGAAATATTATTTAGTTGTGGTTGTGGTTTTATACTGGGAAGGAAGCGAATGATGAATTGTAGCTCCATTTATTGCACCGTGTAGAACTGCTCCGACTCTGAGGATGGTTTGAAAAGAAAAATTAAGCTATCAAAATTGAATTAAAAGGTCAATAAATAGAAATATAAACCAATGAAAGCAAATAATTTTACCTCTACTGATGCAATGTACTACAGAGTATGTGTCAGGTCGTGATATCCACTGGTTAGCAGATCTTGATTAAGAGAGTAATAAATATTGATGAGACAGGTACAGAAATGGCAGGTGCAGTTTGCAGTGTAATTTTTCCAAGTGTCTGTGGAAGAAGGGAAGGAGTGAAGTTTGGTGGGTGGGATTAAGCCATGAAGAAACAAGAAGGAATTTCCAGGCTGTTTGTCTGCTGATGGACAGGGAAATGTGCTGAGCTTACCGAAAGCTGGCAGGATGTAACTGGTTTTCTGTTTGAAGTAATAGTGTATCCAAACTATTTCAAGGGTATCCAGAACTTTTGGGTGGGTGTTTTTCCGGAAACGAAGTGAATTCGGAATGAAAATTAAAAACTGAGGGCAGGGGGTAAAATAACCTTGAGAACAGAAAGCTGTGCCTCCCTGATTTTTTGTTCTTGCAGTCAGCCAAGCACGAGACGCTTTTGGAACATTTGGAAATACTCCTACCACTTTAATTTCAGCAATTTGTCCTAATGCAGTTAAACTTGGATTTTTTTCGATGGCTAATACCAAGATTTCAGTTTATCACACACTTCCACAGTGCCTGAGGAGCTGCCATCTGTCAAATGAATGTCAGGATCAGAGTCCTGCTCCATCATGCCAGATGTGTGTTCATCATTCATATTACCAGTGTCACGTGGGTTGCAGAAGTGACTGAAACGTGCTTGTGATAGCAGAAATCCTGCTTTCATTGACTGGAGAGCAGTATTCCAAACATCACAGAAGCATTCAGCCCTGAAACCAGCTGATACACACTCACTTTGCCTTCTGATTCATCCTCGTGTTGTTGGTTCTCTTTTAGTCCGGCTCAAGAGCTGGAAGAGCTGAAAAGATTTGGGCATCTGTTTCCCCAGCCAAACCAACAAACTGTGCAAAGCTTTTCCCAGTATAATTATCCCTTTATAGAAATCCCTATCAAAAGGCATCCAGGGCAGATGATAAATCAACAGGCAGACTTTGAAGCACGTGACTGTCAAATATCCATGGTTAACTAGGTGCCAGACTGACAGAGCAAAGAGATTTAAAACTATATAAAAGAAATTCTGATGTTACTGCATACTTCCAGACAGAGGGGAACACCTTAGAAACTACTGCACAGAGAACCATTAGAGATGCCTTTTCTCCCTTCAATCTGTAGGATATAGTGAATTATGAAGCCATTTTTTCTCAGCCTGGGACTGACAGGACTAGTGGAATCAACCTAAAGAAGAAACAACTTTAAAACTGAAACCAAGCAGAGGCTCAAGCAACTACAGCAGATCAGAGTATAAATATGAAAGAGTTGTTGTGGTCCTACTCCTCCTCCATACATTATGGATTTGTAATGTGTTGTGTGAGATCTTCCACAGCACCAGAAAATGAGTTTTAGGTCACTGCCCAGCAGTCTCCATTTCAGGGAAGTTACATCTAGTGAGCTTCAAGCCTCGGCGAGGCTTTGCTGCTTCAGAGAGAGCTCTGCAGAAAATGGGGCAGCACACAGCATGGGCTGATTGAAATTCATGAAATTATTCATTAATTGATATCAGAGCACAGTAAGAGTGAAATAGAAGTAAGCCAGGGCATTTGCTCTAAAGGAAATAACTATGAAAGATGCAGCAGGGCAGAGGTGAAACGTCACAGGCACCGTCCCCACCCCGGGAGCAAAGTCACTGCTTGGTTCCTCCTCTGATGGGGAGGAGAAGTGGCAGGAAAAGGCAGGGGCTGGATGGCTCATTGTTGCTAATGAGATTTTTAAAGCAAAAGAGGCATATTGGGGTTATATTTTCACCAGTGATGTCATAGAGCAGCCGAGATCCAGCTGGTGAACGTCCTCTGGCTCTGCTATTCAGAATCACATGGAAATAGAAATCAGAGAATCATAGAATGGTTTGGGTTCAAAGGGATTAAAGATCATCTCGTTCCAACCCCCTGCCATGGGCAGGGACACTTTGCACTAGCCCAGGTTGCTCAGAGCCCCATCCAGTCTGGCCTTGGACACTTCCAGGGATGGGGCAGCCACAGCTTCTCTGAGCAACCTGTGCCAGGGCCTCACCACCCTCACAGGGAACAATTTCTTCCTAATGTCCAATCTAACCCTACTCTCTGTCAGTTGGAAGCCATTCCCCCTTGTCCTGTCACTCCAGGCTCCTGGAAATAGTCTCTCTCCATCTTTCTTGGAGCTCCTTCAGGTCCTGGAAAGCCACAATCAGGTCACCCCAAAGCTTCTCTTCTCCAGGCTGAACAATCCCAGCTCTCCCAGCCTTTCCTCCCAGCAGAGCTGCTCCAGCCCTGGGATCCTCTTGGTGCCTGCTCTGGACTCTCTCCAGCAGCTCCATGTCCTTGCTGGGCTGTTCCCCAGGGCTGGAGCGTCTCTGCAGGGGGGTCTCACCTGAAGGGGCAGAGGGGCAGAATCCCCTCCCTAAATCTCCTTCCCCTTTCCACAACACTTCTTGGTGAACTTTCTGATCACTGTCTTTTTTTTCTGTAGTAAATCCGGGTGCAGTAGAGTATTTTTGTGCAACAGGTTCCGGGAGATTTCCCCTCCCCACTAATTTACTAAACATGGGATCCAAAGAATGACCTGTTTCTGGTAGTTTTAGACACAGTTTGCTCTTGGTCCCCCTCCGAAACTTTCTGGTTACTCAGTCCACTGCTAGTTCAGTATCCTTTATACTCACAGTCCACAATATCTGGGAATATTTGCTTTCTACAAACATAACACTTGGCTTCAGCTTTTTTTCCAGACTTTTTTTTCCCCATTCTATTTGTAAATTCGTTATTTTGAGGGGCAGCAGTAGCAGAGAGCTTCTCCAAACCTCTGTCCTGGTGAGAAAGCCCTGTCATAACAGACCTGTAATTGAACAATCAGGAAAGGCCAAGGAGCTGTTCTGCCAGAAATGGAGCAAATCTCATCACATATTAATCTCTGGGGTAACACAGACCACAGGAAAGTTCTGATGTGCTCTGGAAATGAGAGAGTGATGTCTCTGCTCAGCACCAGCCTGGGCTGAACTGCAGGAAATTAAGTGCAGCAGAGAGATCTTGGGAAAGGTCTCCTGAGCAGAGCCAGGCAATCCTGTTACTTCCCAGAGCACCTCTCCTCTCTGCAAAAATAAACAGCAAAGAAGGGTAAATTTAGAAAACAGCAGCCTGTTCTAGCAACAAAAGGGATGGGGAGGGAGGAGAGTTGTGTTTAAAACAGAAGGCAGCTGTCTTGTGAAATGTTTCTAGGATAGTTATATTTATCCCATGGTTTTCCTTGAGGTGCTGGGACTCATTAAATACCAGAGACATGTTGTCCACATTTGTTATCTAACATTTCCCCTCTGTGGCCTGTTCAATAATGTATATGTACCAAATGCATTATTGAAGATATTTAATACTGGAAGAATACCAAGGCAATACAGACTGCACAGGACTAATGCTCCAGAAAAAAAAAAAAGCCACAAGAAGATTGGTCAGTAGTTAAAGAACCACGTTGGCCTGGATAAGAGATTTCACTGGGAAAAACAGTGGAATTCCCGTTAATTTCCAAGGGCTTGAGAGCAGGTGAGGAATTGCGGGGAAGAGCAGCCAGAAGGCAGCATCTACTTGGAGGCAGATAAAACCAACACTGGGGGCTGGACACAGCAAACCATTCAGCTGCAGTGTTTCATTTAGGAAACCATGTGAAAATACATGTTTTATAATTCTGGAATAAATTTTCGTTCCTCAGAGCTGCTTCGTAATTATCTATGTGAGGTCTCACCACTACATTTAAACATCCAAAGTGTGTGTCACTTGGATGCACTTGAGAATGAGTTTTTCCTTTTCTTTCCTCTCTGCCATGATATTTTGTAAGAGCACAGAAGTAATTAGGACTGGAAACGAGGACAGGCTTTGCAAAGCTGCTGAGCAGGGGTCAGCCTGGGAACAGGCTGCTGTCAGTGGAAGCACAGCCCTGCCAGTCATGGGAAGTTTTAAAAAAAGCCTGCCTTGAATAAACACTGAGATGTTGGGAATGATCCTTCAGGCACATGAAGTGCTGGTGTGCTCATTGCTGCAGTTTTAAAAGCTATGTTCAGGTTTTCCTTTTAACAGGTATTTTCTTTAGGAGAACCAAAAGACACACACCCAAAATCATGTTTTCCTTTAGAGAATCCAGACTGCAGAGGCCACAAGAAGTCCTCAGGTAGCACAGGATCAGTTAATGAATTCCCAGAACTGCCACGTGAAGCTTTTGTTTCGTTCTGCTGCTCATCCTTCCCTTTGTGTTTAGATTCTGAGTGGGTTGCTGAAGAAAGATTTCATTTGGGGGTGAGGCTTTGGCAGGTAACCTCCTGAGAACCCTGGTGGGACTGCTTTTCTAGAATTTCTTTGAGTTCTATAACCGCTTTTGCTCTCCCACAGGTGCGACCCCAAAGACGTCCTGATCATCCGATCAACCCAAAGAAAATCAGGAACGTGACCCTCGTGTAGGATGGACTTCTCCAGGTTATTTTTTTTTTTTTTTTTGCATTTCAGCAACAGAGAAAGGTTAAAACCACTTCTCTCGGTTTAAGTTATAAGTTATTTTTCTTTTTTTGCCTCGTCTAATGAAATGAAATTGCAACCTTTATGAAGTAGCACATTATATCTCAGCAAAATAACGGACATAAATGACATAAATGGACATAAGTGACATAAGTGGACAGCCTGAACTACAGAGACAAGGAATTTGATGGGACTGGACAAGAGGAAGAGTCTGTGCTTTGGGTCCCAAGGAAACCAGCAAATTTCCTATCAGAAAAAAAATCCTATGTTACAGCAAGATCGAGGACTGGAACTGCAAGACATTTATGAGTTCAGAAGAACTGGTTAATAATAATAATAATAATAATAATAATGATAATAATAATGGTTAATACAATATCAACTGCTTTTTAATGTACTTTATGTACAGCTGAGCATCTTGAGCTTCTGGATCAACAACATTTTTCAATTCCTGTTCTGTAATAAAATCAAGGGAAGTTTTGGTGAGGACCGTTTTAAAATTTCTAACAAAATCATCTTAGGGTCATAAATTAATTTGTTCCATTTCAATAAGTTACTTTGTAAAAGGTGTTTGCCTTAAAGCCAATGTTCCATTTTGAAATAAAACCCAATCACCCACTTGCCAAAAAAATCCTTTTTTAAATTGAAATTGAAAAATCTCGAGCTGGAAAATGTAGATTTGAAAATCTTGACTTTGAAGAGTTGTTGCTTGAGTGTTTTATGTCTCTGTTCTACTCGTGGGCTGAGTTTGCACCAAATGACTTGTGCCACAGCAATGGTGGTATTCGTGTTGAACAGTGTTTTTGCCTCAGGGATAGAGTGGATGAGGACCACGGGAAATGCACTTTATCAAGGCAGCTTGTCAGCAGAGGAGATCCAGCACATGGACTTTGCAAATTAAAAAAAAAAAAAAAATTGTGATTTCTGGCAGAAATGTTTTGCCTGAAATTTTGTGTTTCATAATAAAAAGTTCAAGCCTGATATTTTTTAATTTCTTTTTTTTTTTTTTTTTTTGAAAAGACAAACTTCTTCCAGAAAAACAAGTTATTTTCAGTGTACCCATCTTTCTGCCCACTCAAAGAACTCTGAATTATTCAGCGTGTCGCATGTTAACGTTCGGTACAAACCGACGCGGGTGCCCTGTGAGTGCTGAGAGAAGCCACCCCTCAGAACCACTTCCAGTGACAATCTGTGCAACAAACCTAAGAAATCCGAAACCTGATCCCGGGAAGAAGAAGAGGCTGCTTTGCGTGTTTAGCGTTTGGCATCTCGTGAAGTCGCGGCAGATTTTGTGCTGCCGGTGGCATTTCCAGTCAGTCTGTCAGAACGTGGCAGGGTCTGCCATGTGCTATCGTACACAAAGCTGTTGGGAATTCTGACCATCCACACCTAACTTGGCTGGGGAGGAGCTTTGAAATGCTTTTATGTTATGCAGAGAAAAATAGAGGCAATTTAGGTTGTGGCATGTCTTCTTGACATTTTCCTTGAAAATATCCTTGTTTTCCTTGAAAAGAACATGCATGGAGAGAAGCATCTCCATGGAGAGAGAAGGGACCTGGAGAGGCTGGAGAGCTGGGCTGATACCAACAGGATGAGGTTCAACAAGGCCAAGTGCTGGGTCCTGCACTTTGGCCACAACAACCCCCTGCAGCACTACAGGCTGGGACAGAGTGGCTGGAGAGCAGCCAGGCAGGAAGGGACCTGGGATTTGGGATGGACAGGAAGCTGAACAGGAGCCAGAGTGTGCCCAGGGGGACAAGAGGGCCAGAGGCATCCTGGCCTGGCTCAGGAACAGTGTGGCCAACAGGCTCAGGGAAGTGATTCTTCCCCTGGACTCAGCGCTGGTGAGGCCACCCCTGGAGTGCTGTGTCCAGCTCTGGGCCCCTCAGCTCAGGAAGGACATGGAGGTCCTGGAGCAGGTCCAGAGAAGAGCAACGAGGCTGGGGAAGGGACTGGAGCACAAGTGCTGTGAGGAGAGGCTGAGGGAGCTGGGGCTGTTCAGCCTGGAGAAGAGGAGGCTCAGGGGAGACCTCCTCACTCTCTGCAACTCCCTGACAGGAACCATGTCAGGGTCGCGCTCTTCTCCCAGGAAACCAGCAGTAGGAAAAGAGGGTATGATCTTGAGCTCTTCCAGGGGAGGTTTAGGTTGGACATTAGGAAGAAATTCTTTACAGAGAGAGTGATCAGCCATTGGAATGGGCTGCCCAGGGAGGGGGTAGAGTCACCATCCCTGGAGGTTTGTAAGATGAGACTGGATGTGTCATCAGTGCCATGGGCTGGGAACCACGGTGGGGTTGGATCAAGGGTCAGACTTGATGATCTTGGAGGTCTTTTCCAACCTGACTAATTCTATGATTCTATGATCTACCTCACTGACACAAGTATTCCTATTGCTCACATCTAGTTACAGCTGTAGCTTAATGCAACCTAAACACAAACAAAAATCCATTTTATTAGAGGAATGTCTATTGTATGAAAGAGAGGTGGGCCCAGGGCAGCATCAGCTTGTGACGTGGGGAGAAAAAACACGGAATTTTGGCTTTCTGTGCACATCCACGGTTAGCAACACCTCCTGGTTGTCAGAGAATGATGGAACCTGCGTGGACACAAAAGTTTCCCAGCAGAAAATGGTGATTCATTAGAATTTACTTTGCAAAGGCATCAAACTATACTGTGTTATATCCAAGCCATTGATTTCAAGCTTAGCTTCGATTTTATTTGGTGTCATAGCAAAGGAGCCAACCTAGAACTGGAGAAAACCTTTCCTCCACTTAATCTGTGTCCTTCCACATGAATCAAACACATTTCTGTGTTGATGCCATGGGCAGGAGGACACAAACTCTGAGGCAAAAGGCTGTGTCAGCAACATTTTGTCTTCTGTGCTGAGGAGTCCCCACTGGGATTTCCACGTGGTGCAACCTGGGGCTTGAGGCTCTTCAGAGAAAAGAAGCAAAGTTTCACAAAATTGGTTTTCAGGCTGTGGCAAAAGAACCTCCTGGCACTCCTGTTGAATGGACAAGCTGAGAAGAGAATGTTGGAGACCTCATAGAAACTTTCTAGCATCTGAAGAGGGTCTGTAGGGAGTCTGGAGAAGGACTCTTCATCAGGAACTGGAGTGACAGGACAGGGGGAAATGGGTTCAAACTGAAAGACAGTAAATTTAGATTGGATATTAGGAAGAAATTGTTCCCTGTAAGGGTGGTGAGGCCCTGGCACAGGTTGCCCAGAGAAATGATGGATTCTCCATCCCTGGAACTGTTCAAGGCCAGGTTGATGTGGCTTTGAGCAACCTGGTCTAGGGGAAGATGTCCTGCCCATGGAAAGGGGTTGGAATGAGATGACCTTGAACGTCCCTTCCAACCCAAACCATTCTGGGATTCTGCGTGAGACCCCTCATCTGGGGTCCCTGTGGGAGCCCCTCCCCTGCTGGCAGCTCCAGGCTGTCCCAATCAGACATCAGGGGTGTGCAGACAGGTCACCCTCCAGCTCTGCATCCTGCCTGGGAGCTGGGAACTGCTCCAACATTCCACATTTACTTCAGGGACCACCTGCCAGCAGACAATTGCCAGTGGACCTCACAGAGCAGCGGGAGGAATTACACCCCACTGGCTGCACATCTCTCTGACTGAACAAGCAGAGCTTTTTTTTTTTCACAAGCAGGTACCACAGCCATGGAAATGTTCACATTAACCAGAGCCTGGATTTATTTTCCTTCCTGCCAGCTCCAGGAATGCATCCCACGCAGCTATGGAACACTCTGAACAGCATTAGCATGAGGTTAAAAATTCTTGTGGTGTCCTTGAAATTTATGGCTGGGGGCATTCATATCCTTGCAGATTTGTTTTCCTCAGGCATGTTGTACAGACTGTATATCATCTGCAGGACTAGCTGTTACTTATGTTTGCAAATAGAGCTCCACAAATAACAATACATAAAATACAGAGATGATTTGCAGCACCCAGGGAATATAAAATATGCAGGCACTTTCAGAAGGCAGAGTAGGCCGAAAATATTGAATTTCGGGCACTTTATGGAGACACCAATCTTTTGTACATATGCATATTGATTTATAATTATGACTTAAGGGATGTTTTAGTAATCTAGAAGTATCCAGGTTTTTACTGCTCACAGACTGTGCACAGTTTGATAGTATAAAACCCTTTTATGTTTCTTTACAAAATGTTCTGATTTGAATTCCTTGCTTGTATGTGTGGGGAAAAAATGCATTGAAGATGAACAGTATCATGCTACAGTTAAGTTTCCTGAAGTCGTCTCACCAGTTTTATGTTTCACAGAAAACTCAGGCAACCTTTAGCACAAAGCCACTTAAAAATAACATTGGCTTCGTGTGGAGGTTTCCTGTTACAACAAAAGGCACCTCAGGTTTGTGTGGGCTGAGTGGAATCAACAGATGAACTCTCACTGAGGACGACTCACAATATTGATTAAACATTTGGTTTCTTACTGATCTGATTGAATACAGCTCCTGTTTTCAGTGTTTATTTGGCAGAATATACAATATGTGGTGCTGCTAACTCAAAAAACCACCATTCTTGAGTATTTGGGCCTCCCAGTGACACAGATGGGAACAACTCTGGTTACTGGGCTCACTATCTCTTTCCTCAAAAGGGTCCTTCATGAGGTAGGAAAAACACAGCTTCCCACAAATTCCCCCACCAGAAGCTCATGGAAAACCAGGGAATGGTCTCCTCAAAGTGTTGCAGATAACTCATCTTGTTACCCTTCCCTCTCCACTCAAATAGATCTTACCCAGCTAAAATGAGGGGGGACATGAGGCCCATCCCCAACTCTCCCTGTCTGAATTTCCATAAATCCTACACCCACATTCCCAGCAATGCCACAGAATTCATCCAGTGGCCTCGTGGTAACTGTGTAAGTAAAACTAAGCATTTAGGATAGACCAGAATGATCTCATATTTTCGAGATATAATGAAAAAAAAAAAAATCCCAAAACAAACAACCCCAGCTTCCAGCAGGAGAACGTTGCTGCCAAAACATCTTTGGCATCTTGGGACTTTTGTTCCAAACAGCCTCCAAACCCCTTTCTAAAGACGAGGCTGAGCATTGAAATTCATAAAGCCACTTGCTGTGGAGGAACATACTCTCAGCAAATGTGACTTTTATGATTACTCTCCTCCCACTCACCACAATTGACTCTTGTTCCTCAGGCTATAAACCACCTGCCTCTTCCTCCCCCCAGGTGACAAGCAGCTTCATTTAACTTTAACTTTCTCTGTCTCTCACTTTCCGCCCTCTTTCCCATCCTTTCTTCTCCACAGCTCCCAAATATGCTTCCTTTAAACAAAGGCCTAATTGATACATACCTAATTAATTTGTTCTCGGCTTGTATTGAGCTCTGAAAATTGCTGCTTCTATTTCAGCCCTGAGTAAAGGCTTGCATACCTGAAAGTTTGCCTGGTATTTCCAGCAGTACCAGTTGATCCCCCAAAAAAACACACCCTGATGGCTGTGAATTCCCATCATCCCACCCACAGGGATTACAGCAGGACACTGTGCACACCTCAACTGACCTTCCCGAACTGCTGTTGGAAAAAAATGGGGGAAAAGAGAGAAGCCAAATTGGGTTTGCACTAAATGTCTGCTCCAAAC